GCAGCAGGGTCTGGATGAACCTGAGTCCCCTGGGGGGGGGGGGGGGGGAGAGCTTCTGAGAGGCTGCCAGTGCCCTCCCCCTCGAGCTCCAACCCCCCCAGGTCCTCCAGCCGCCCCTCAGGAGTAGAGGGGGCTTTGCGGTCACCCCCTCACCTCTTCAGCCACATGAGGGCCAAGGTGGCCCCCACTTTCGGCCACGCCGACCCGTGCATTTCCTTCTCCGCTTCCAAGATGTTCTGAAGGGTTTTGAACTTGGTTGGGTTTGATTCGTAAACCGCCCGTATTTTCTGAAATTGAGCCAAAAGAGAATCCTAAATTTGACCCAGGGGTGGTTTGGGTCCAGCTGGTGGGAGGAGGAGGGGGGGGTTGCAGGGGCCCCTTCTGATTAGCAGCGCCCTCCCCACCCCGGGATCCTGCTCCTTATGGAGCTGAGGCTGCTGCCTTGGGCCTCTCCCCATGCGGCCCTTTCCACAGCCATAAGCAGCAGCAGCAGCAGCACCCCAAGAACCCATGGCGGCTTGATGCTAGCCTGGGCCTGATCCCAGCTCAGACCCCGCGCCCCCTTTCCTCAGGACCTTCCCTACCTTAATGTTCCCAGAGAGATCCGCCTTCACCGGGGCGTAGACAAGCGGAGTGCCCAGGCAGTCTGCGGAGGAGAGAGAGCAATGGTCAGGGGGCATCTGGATTCAGCAGCGGTGGGACCCCGATCCAGCCTGCCAAGGGGGCCCCAGGAAAAGGGCCCAGCCCCTCAGCCAAAGCCAGGAGGGAAGAGGAACGGCCCCGTCCACCCCCTGGAACGCTCCGGGTGCAAGGAACCTATTCAGACGGCGAGGAGATGCCAACAGGGATTAAATCTTGACGATGGGAGGATTTAATTTAATTTTATCATTTAATTCAGCACTGGGGTCTCACCACAGCTGGGCGTCTTCAGGAAGAAATTGGGGAAGTGGTGCTTGGGCAGCCAGAGCTGGTGGTGGGCTAGATGGCCTTTAAGAACTCATCCCTCCATCTTGCCATCTCCTACTCCCCGGCCTAGGCTTAACCTACACTGCAGGGATGTCGTGAGAAACAAGAAGATGGAGCCACAGGAAGGAAAGCTGCTGAGGCAGAAATAGGCCCCTTTAATCCTAACACACACCTCACCCTTCCTCTGAGATGCTGGGGAGGGGGCTTTGGTGCTTCAAAACAGCACCCCTCCCATCTTGTCAGCCTTTCAGAGTGGGGTGGGTGGGCTTCAATCCATGCCTTTCCCTTCACCTCTGGGCCAGAATGTGTGCTGAAGATAAGGTGTGAGGTGGGATAGCTTTTTTCCTTTGGAGATGGTTTGTCAGACACACAAACGTTGTATCGCCCATGCAAGTTGACAATCTTTAGAGGATGATTTCCAGTTTGCAATACAGCGTGGTGTTGTGGCTTTTATTCTGTGCCACCCAGAGTCACTATATTGCCATGAATCCGGGGCTAGGTAATCGCTGGAATACAGCAGAAAAGCTGCGTCGGAAGGGGCCTTGCAGCCCAACCCTCTGCTTAAGCCAAAAAAGGAGTGAGAGTCCCAAGGAGGCCGCTCCGGTTTTGCTTCATGGAAGACCATGGGAGCGGGGGGGGGGGGGGGGGGGGATTGGGGGGGACGGGGGCAACAAGGGCTTCTCTGAATGCCAAGTGAACCAGTTTGCCAGCAAGAAGCCAGGAGACTTTCAAAGCAGGCTTTGTGCCCTTGCTCAGAGTTGGTGTTGGGGTGTGGAGAACAAAGTGGCAGCTCAGTTTCAGGATGGGAGGGGCAGCTCTGGGATGCCTGTTCCGCCACACGGCCCTGGGGGGAAAAGACTGCCTGTTCCTCCAGATCCCACCAGTTGTTCCTGTTCTTCTTGTTCCCCCTGGCTTTCTGGAATGGCCAAGTGCCTCCCGGAAGTCACTCAGCACCGCCTGAAAGCAAAGGCCCCGGCTCCTTCCCACACCCAGTGGCCCCCTCCAGTCTGGCCTTGCCAGCCAAGCCCACCTGGAGGTGCTGGGATGCAGCGCCTGCCCGGCTGCTGGGGAAGGCGGCTGAGTGATGCCACCCACCCGCTGAGGCTTGCACAAGGGAGAAGGGAGAGGCTGGCACACCCAGCGGGCCCTGCGCGCATTTCCCACTGGGGGGGGGGCGATGAGCAACCAGCGAGTCTGGCCTGGGGAAGCAGCAGGCAGACCAGGCTTATCTCCAGACACTCGTCCCCAGCGTGTCCCCAGCAGGAGAGGCAGCCCGGTCTCAAGATCGCTCCGCTGTTACTAGCGAAGGCCCCCAGTGGACCCCTCGGTTTCAAGTAGTATAAGGGAACAACCCGCCATCCAGCCTCCCTGGGGCAGCTTGCTAGGCAGAGCCAAGGTGGACATGCTAATAAGTCATTCATCGGTTACGCAGAGGGGAGCCTGGCTCCACCTGAACCAGCGACGGAACCACTCCCCTTGCTGTCTCGCAGGGCCACTGGCACCCCCAGAAAAGCCTTAAAGGGGCCCTTAATGAAGGAGTTTGGGGGCCAATCCAAGGCGGCCCCGAATGAGGCAACATGGTCTAATCTCAGTGTCTGGTATTCTCTGGTAGGCTGCCCCTATCCATGGAGTGTCCCTTTTTCTACAGTGGCCGTTGCAGGGAAGGGAGAAATGCCACCTTCTCGCTTCGCTTCCCCTCCCCCCCCCGGAATCCTCAGAGGGTGTCTTCTCCCCCCCATGAATTGCAGATAGTTTGTTCCTCTGAGGAAGGCAGTTTTCTCTCCCCCTGAACTAACGTGGTAAACCTCCTCGCAAAGGCTCAGCTGCTTCGCTTGGCCTTTCCAGGCCTTTGTTGTTTGGAAAGCAGAGAAGGACAGGAGGAGGCCTGGCTGGATCTCTCCAGGTGTCAGTTACGTCCACGATGAAAGCTGCTTCTTGGTTGACAGCCCAGAGATCTAATTTCCACAAGCCTCTTGGCTGCCCTCCCCCCTCCGCCCTGGTTTGGGGTTCAGGTCTGTCAGGGAGCAAGATGTGGGGGGGGGGGGAGCTGATGAGGGGAGTTGGGAAAAGAGATGGGGAAAAGACCTAACCCAGGGCGGGAGAGCTCTGGAGCAGGGACGACCGTCGTGTTAAAGGCAACCCGAGGGCCCTCTGCACATGCCCCAAAGCACAGACCTTAATGAAAGACCAGGCTTAATTTGAGTTGTATAGACGTAGCCCCCGCATAGTTCCGCCCCCGAAGAAAAGAACGCCTGGATGGAGCGCAAAGGGATCCCTGAGGCCCTTCCGTCAACTTAAGAATGAAAGTCTCCCTTCCTCGTTGTCAGCAGAGGCTTCCTGGCCACTCAGCCCATCTGGCAGCTTCTGCCCCCTTTTGGCCCGCTGGCGCACCTGGAAAGATCGGGCCCTCGGCAAACAGCCTGGGCCGGGGACCGATCCGGGCCACCGCCGGGGCAAGGGAGCGGGGCGGAGGAACGGACGGGGTTCAAGGCGCCCCTGAAAAGCGCCCTCCCACGTGGCCCCCCAGGGGCTCCAGCGAGGCAGAGGCTCAGCTCCCCCAACCAGGCACAGCCCTCGAGCGCAGGAGCGCGCCGGCCGGAGCCGATCCCGCTCTCGGTCGCCCCGTCGTGCCCCGCCGCAGCCGCCGGCTCGGAGTAGCGCTGCGCCGCCCTGCAGGGCCGGGGTGGGAGCTTCGCAAGGACCCCCTTCGCCGCCCGGGACCGCGGGGCGCGCCACCACTCACCGAAGAAGGGCGGCAGGTGCGTCACGGCCTCCAGGAAGGGCTCCGTGTCGATCTGCTTGTCGGCCGGCAGCGTCCGGAACTCGTACTCCAGCAGCAGCGCCATGGCGGCAGCCCAGCCGTCCCTCCGGGCGAGTCGGGCAGAAGAACGGCCGTCGTCAGGGAGGAGCCCGGCACCGCCGCCCCCGAGGGAGGCGGGCCGCCGCCGAGCCTCCGCCCGCAGGATGAGGCGAGCCGCCCGCCTCAGGAGCAGTCTACCGTCAAGGTGGGCGGGCTGGCGGCAGCGGACAGAGAGCTCCAGTCCGGGCCAGGGGCCGCCGCCGCCGCCGCCGCTTCAACGGGCGCTCCCCGGACGGACGGGGGGGGGGGGCAGCACGGGGGATCCGGGGCGGCTGAGGCGGGCTGGGCGGGAAGCGGGGGGCGAGGCGCCGGATCCCACGGAGAGTCCGGCTTCCCAGGAGCCGCGAGCGGAGACGGGGCGGCGCGTCCTCTGAGCATGGACAGAGGGCTCTTGCGCTGCCCAGCCTCGGCGGGGCAAGGGAAGGTCCGGAGCCGCGGCCGAAGTTTCAGCGCCACCAGCCGCTCTTGCTGGGTGCCCAGCTGGGGATGATGGGGGAGGCAGTCCGGCCCCGCAGACCCCGCCGGGAAGGAGGACCCCTTGGCCCCTTCCAGGCGGGCCCCGCGGCGGAAGGTCCGGCCGAGAGAGAAGCGCCTCGGGGCCCCGGGCATCGCCGGGCGGATTTGCACTCGCTCCCTCTGCAGGAGGCGCGTCTGGCGGGGCAAAGGGCGGCCTGGGTTGCCCCGCAAGGCTCCAGAAGGGAACGGAGCCCTCCCGCCGAGAGGCTCCCGGTCTGGCGGCGCTGCTGCTGCTGCTCTTCGGCGGCGGCGGCGTCTCCGTCGCTCCCGGGACCGGAGGGTCAGAGCCGGTTGGTTCCAAACTTGATTGCAGAAAGTCCGACTTCAGCCTCAGCGGGGTCGGTGCCTGGAACTCTGTTGTCCCATCCTCACCACCACCCCGTCCCCTTTACCCTCAAACTGTCCCCGATTGACCTCCCCCCTTTCCTAAGAGGCCTGTAAGGGGCGTGCAGAAGCGCACCATCCCGTCCCTGTCCTATTGTCCCCCTTTATTCCTACCTATTTTCTGTATTCTTACTCATGTTTATACTTATACCAAGTATTTTGTAAGCGATTGACGCATATAAATAAATAAATAAATAAGAAAGAAAGAAAGAAAGAAAGAAAGAAAGAAAGAAAGAAAGAAAGAAAGAAAGAAAGAAAGAAAGAAAGAAAAAGAGTACCCGGAAGCCGCCCGCGGTGAGACCTGGAGCACCCCTCTAATTTTCTTAGCTCTGTGACTCACAGCTCGGTTCCGCCCTCCTGCGCGATACGGAGCCTTTTGTGCCTGGGCGGCCCCGGTAAAGAGACCGGAAGCGCTGCCATGGAGACCCCTGGCGGCGCCGGAAGGAGCTGGGCCGTTGGGCGTTCGAGCGGAGACAGCGGCGGGGCGCACATCGAAGGCGGCGAGCGCGCCTTCGGATCGCCGGGACTATCCCGTGGCGGGTGACGTCAAGGCACGCGACCGGACCTCCCCGGGCAGCCCCCCCATCCCCTCCCCCGCCATGGCCGTTCGCGCCGTCCCGCCGTTCTGGGACAGCCGCAGCCGCGCCCTGGAGCAGCAGCTGGTGCGGCGGCGGGAGCAGGAGGCCCGCCTGCGCCGGCAGTGGGAGCTGCACAGCCGCTCCTTCCAGCAGTCCGCGCTGCGCAGCCGCAAACAGGCCGAGTGGAGCTCGCGCCGCTCCTTCCAGCAGAGGTCAGCGGGGGGGGGGGGGCCCGGGGGGGGGGGGGGGGGGGGGGGGGCGAGGCGGCCCCTCCACGTCTCCCTCCCTCCCTCTCCTCCTCTCCGCCCGCAGCATGGAGGCGCATGGCCGGGAGCGGCTGAAGGAGGAGGCGGCGGCGGGCCTGGAGCGGCGGCGGCGGCGGCTGCGGGAGCTGCTGTGGCGGGAGCGCGAGGGTCTGGCGGCCGAGCTGCGGGGGCTGCGGAGCGGCGGGGCGGCCGAGCTGGAGGAGAAGAGGCAGCGGAGCCAGGAGCTGCGCTCAGCCAGGGAGGAGCGGCGGAAGCAGGTCTGGCCTCCCGGGGGCGGGGGTCTGGTTGGGCAGCCCCCGAGGTGGGCGACGCGGCCTGAATTGCCTCCCTTCCTGGCCCTGGCTTGCAGGTGGCGGAGGATCGTCTCTACGACTGCTGGAGGAAGAGCAGCGCGAAGCTCCGAGAGGTGGGAAGCCTGCAAGCCCTCCGCCTCTTGGGGGGCGGGGGGCGCAGAAAGGAGGGCCCCCTCCGAGAACAGGATCGGGGTCGGCGCCCACCAGGGCCAGGCGGTGATGCGGTGTTTCTGCTGCACTTCAGGTCAGCTCCGAGCTGCACAAGAAGCAGGTGGTGGAGGCCTGGGGGGACCAGCTGGCGCTGAAGCAACAGGTAGGCTCACCTGCCCACTCCGAACCTGCCCAGGAGGAGGAGGGTGGACGGAGCGTCATGCTTGCTCTGGTCTCCTCCCAATTGAGCGAGAAGCGGCAGATCAGGAAGAGAGAGTCCGCTCCGAGAACCAGTACGAGAGAGCCCGCAGAGCAGCCCTGGAGCGGCTGGAGGAGCAGCAGCAGCGCAGGAAGCAGGCCGAGGAGAAGCAGGCCGAGGTCCTGCGGCAGCAGATGGCGGAGCTCCAGCTGCGGGACGTGGAGGTGTGCGAAGGGGGGAAGGCAGCCTGTCCCATTTCTGGATCTGCAGGTCACCCCCCCCTTCCCGTTAGGATTGCCCCAGGCCTGGTCTCTCCTGGCTTTCGGCTCTCTCTCTTTCTCTGGCCCTCACTCTTGCGCCCCTTGTCAGGCCACCAAGCTGAAGGAGGAGGAGGAGAGCCTGCTGAAGCAGCATTGGGAGCTCCAAGCCCTGGAAGCCGAGCGGAAGCTGAAGGAGCAGCAGCAGAAGAAGGTGGAGCTTGGGTAGGTGGGGTGGGGGGGCTTCCATGATCGGAGCTGCTGCTATTCCCAGCCAGCTGCACTGTGTGCAGAGTCTTGGCTCCTCTCAGGTCCAAGGTGGAGGCTCTGCTGGGGAGCGCAAACCTTTCTCAGGGCCTCTCAGGGTTGCCTGCCCACTTATTTCATGCCTGCGTCTTTCCCCAGGCGCTTTCTGAAGCATCAGGTCCAGGCCCAGCTGAGGAAACGGGTTCAGCAGGTCCAGGAAGAGCTGGTAAGCTTGTCCGCCAGAGTGGGAGGCAGCTGCTGAAGGGGGCTGGAAGGGCCCTGCCTGCAGTTGTGCCCCCCTCCCAATCTCTGCGGGGCGTGGTAAGCCGTGGTGGCGTCCTGTGGCTTTGTGATTCCAGGAGAAGGACAGGCAGATTCTCCTGGCCCTGTCTGAGAAGGACGAGCAGGACCAGCGCCTGGAGTCCTCCCGGCGGGAAGAAGCCGTGGCTGCAGTGGCCTGGATGAAGGAGGTCATTGAAAAGCAGCTGCAGCTGGAAAGAGAACGAGAGGCGGAGCTGGAGACCATCTTCAGGTGGGGGAGGGCAGGGGAGGAGGGCTGAGGTGGAGGGAGGGGTCAGCCAGGATCCTCACCTCCCAAGGCGTCTGTGGCTGGGCGAAATGGGTGGGTGGGGGGTCAGAGGCACTGGGTGCCAAGCCCCTCGGCATGCGCGGGAGTGCCTTTGGCTGCAGGGAAGGTCCTAGTGGGGATTGGCGCTGCCTGTTGCTGGGCAGTGGGCATCTCCCTGTCCTTTCTTCCCTTCCCTTGCCCCCCCCCCCCCCCCCAGGGAGGAAGCCAGGCAGGTTTGGGAGAAGCGAGAGGAAGAGTGGGGGAGAGAGCGGAAGGCCCGGGACAGGCTCATGGCAGAGGTAAGAGCGGGACTTCCGGGGTGGGGACGGGATGGGACGGCTCTTCCGAAGCGAGGAGGGGGCAGGCCTCGGCTGAGCCATCCCACCTGCGGCTCCAAACAGGTCCTGGCCGAGAGGGAGCAGCAGGTCCAGCAGAAGATGGAGCAGAACCGGCAGGCCCAGCAGGAGTCCGTGAGGTTCCGGGAGCAGCTGATCCAGCAGCTGGAAGAGGCCAGGCAGCTGACCCAGTGCGAACAGCAGGCGGGGGTAGAGCGGAAAACCGCCCGCAAGCAGGAGCTGCAGGCCCAGGTGGGGCTGGCGGTCATGGGGCCGTTGGCTGGGCTGCTTTCTTGGGAGGTGCCCTGTCCTGAGCTGACCTTCTCCTCCAGCTCACGGAGCGGCAGCGGCAGCAACAGGAGGAGCTCCAGCGCCAGCAGGAGGCGGCCACAGAGGCCCAGCTGCGAGAGCAGCAGCTGCAGGAGCTGGAGCAGCTGGAGGCCAGGCGCATGGTGGAGGCCTGCTATCGCAGACAGGTGGGAGCTGCCGCCCAGGTGGCCCTCAAGGGGGCTCAGGACTGCCATCCCGGGGTGGGGAGAGATCCGATCTGAGTGCTGGCATCAGGCCAGACTCGTGACTAGCATCCTCTGCCTGCCCTCCTTCTAGTGCCACAGCTACCCCAAAGCTGCCTGGAGCTGAAGAAGATTCTGCGTTCTGGGTCTGGGGGGCCGAGAACCTCTTTGGCGGCTGCTTCCTGCTGTCTGACAGTCTGCTTGGATCCTGCTGGGACGCTAGGAGACTAAAAGGGGTGGGCTGGCTGCCCCAGGAGTGGTCTTCCTGCCCCCCCCCACCCCCCCGAGCAGCTGCTACCTAGGGGCTGTTGCCCAGGATAGAAGAGTGGCAGCGAAGGTGATGGATAATCGGTGCTTAGAGGGTCAATAAAGTGCTACTTTCCTTTTTTAATTGGTTTTCTTTGGCCTGATGCTGACCAGAAATGCTGACAGGGACAGGCAACCCAAAGATTGTCCCAATTTCTGTTCCACCGCTCTCCCCCCCCTCCCCCCCCAAAAAAAAACCAGTACAAAACTTTAAAAAGGGAGTTACAATGAAATACCAACATTCAAAATATTATGGCACTTGGTTTTTATACATGTAAGATTTACATATGCACACACTAGCAGGGTATTTTATACACACATACATACACACACACACACACACACCAGAGTCTTCACTTAGTTGTGGCTTTAAAATGCAGGTGGGGAGTCTGTCTCTACAGCTGCAAAGCAGGTGGTGCCCCCCCCCCCCCAGTCTTGCAGGGGGTCCTGAGCAAGCCAGGCCGGGGGCAGCTGCCCGCCCGCTACTCTCCGGCTGCAGGAGAGTCCTAAGGGGCAGCGGCAGGTCAGCCCATGAAATGGATGGGAAAGGCCTGTTGGCTGCTCACCCCATTCTGGGAGGTGAGGCGGCAGCTGGCCGGCCTTTGGCCCAGCTGCTGCCTTTGCTTGGAAGCTTTCAACTTGCACCGACTCGGGGATGTGCAATGGGGAAGCTACCCCCGACCTTCCGAACCCTCTACCTTCTCCCCCAAAATCTTGTTTTTTGCATTGACTGGCCCTTGTGCCTTGGCCGTGTGCTTTCTTCATACTTCTTCACGGAGAGAGGCCTCCTGGGCTGTAACAGGCGGGGAGGGGGCGGCAGACGCAGGGGGCCTGGGGGAGGAGGGGAAGCCAGCACAAGCTCCCCCTCCCTGACACACTCCCAACTGCCAGTGGGGTGGCCGGGTGTTGGGCCCCCTTTCCTGGCCAGACCTTCCGCATGCACTCTGGGAAAGGCCCTCATGCGTCCGTATTTGTAAAGGCAGGGGATTCCAAAAATAAAAAGGCCAAAAAAGCTTTCCAGAAAACCCAGCATGAGGAGCCGCCTGGGGAGGGGCAGAGGGAGGGAGGCCGCTCCTTCCTCTACAAGCACCTCCTGCTCTTGTGGCTGGGGGGTGGGTGGGGGGCGGCTTTGGGGCCCCAGGCAGACCGAGCAGGAAAGTGGGGTGTCCTTTTGACCAGCCCCTGTATCTCAAGAGGTTGCTCTCTAGTGGTTCAATGGTGCCAAGCAGCTGCACAGCAGGATTCCAGGGCAGCTCCCTGGGTCCCGCTCTGGGCGTCCCAGTTCCCAGCGGGGGCTACAGAGAGTGCAGGATTCAAACTCCGCTCCTCGCAACAGCAAAACAGTCCCGTCAGCTGGTGATGGGATGGTTGACTCCAGGCAGACTCCCTGCATGGGCGCTCGAGGCCGGCAAATACAGAGCACCAAATAAGGCAGTGGATTTTGGCAATCCTGGGAAAAAGTCTTCTTAGAAAAAAAAACATGCACAAAATTTAATACTGAGTTTCCTTTAAAAAAAATGGTAACGCACCGCTTTAAATATTCCTGTAAAAAGAGCTTCCCCTGAAAACCTGAACATGGGTTTCCAAGGCGACGGCAAAGGCTGTGCCAGAGGCTGCTCAATTGGCGTTCTCTTTGGTTGTGATGGTGACCAGCTGCTTGGCGGCCTTGGCGATGTCGTAGGCGCACTGGATGACCTGCTGGGTGACCAGCTGGACGTCGGCCGTGGAGCAAGACTCGGGCGGGAGGGCCTTGGCGCACTCGGAGTGCAGGCGGAAGGCACTGGAGGTCAGCAGCCGCAGCGGGGTGCGCACCAGCTCCGACGGCGGCTTCTGGAAGAAAGCAGGGAAGGTGGTGGCCAACCTGGCTTCCCGTTTACGGGCCGGAAAAGGGCAATGTGTGAATGCAGACAAGGGCGAAGTTGCCCTGTGGCCTTCCTCAACCTTCTTGCCCAAGAGGCTTTTCGGGGGTTGCTTGCTCTACACCTGGCTAAGGGCTCCCCTGTCCTCTGATAGTCTCCACAAATTTCAGGGATGGCAACTTCCAGAGCTTCTTGCTCTTGCCTGCAAATCCACCCCTTCCATTTCCTCCCCTCGCCTCCTGGGCTGCCCAGAACCTGGGGCTCCCCCCATGGCGCCCCTTCCTCTTCCCTTCTTGCCAGAGAAGCACTACTCACTTTCGGAAAGAGGGCTGCCATCTCGGTGACAGCCAGGTGGATCCTCTCCGAGCAGGGGACGTAGCTGCAGTGGGAGAGCAGGCAGGTGAACCTTCCCAGAAAAAGGGCCCTTGTTCCCAGCCCCCCCAAACCGCAGGCCGCCCGGGCTCACCTCTCGTGCTTGCTCTCCTGAGCCGCCCTCAGCAGCTCCTGGATGTTCTTGGTGATCTGCTCCGTCTTCCGAATCACGTCCTCTGTGCTGGGGAAGCTGAGGCTGGGGTAGGCCTCGGGGTCCTTGCCCTCTGGCCCGGGGCCGCTCCGCTGCCTTGCCTTCCGGATGAGCCTGCCGAAAGACACAGGCTGCAGCCCCAGACTGCCTCCCCTGGCGGCTCCGGGCCCTCCCCCGGAAGGACAGAGAGAAGGCCCGGCTCCCTCTGGCCCAGGCTAGCGTGAAGACCGCAAGGGAGTCCCTTCGGGTGCAGCCCAGGAATCGCACTCGAGCCTCGGCCCTTACCCCGTCTCGTCCAGCTCCAGAGCAGGGGTGGTGTTGTCGTAATCCCCCTGGGGCAAGCTGCTCTGCTTCTCCAGCCGGGACATCTGCAAGGGGAAACAAGAAGGGAAAGATTGGGATGGAGGGAAACGGGCAGGCGGGCATTCGCCTGGGAAAAACAGCCCACCAGAGAACCACCAGCTTTTGTGGGCTGGGGGCACCTGGAGCTGCTGCCTCCTTGCCCAGAACCGCACAGGGCCTGGGAGAATGAGGGAGGGCTCCCCCCCCCACCCCCCAGTGGGGAAAGCGCAGGCGGGCTGAGGGCCGAGCAAAGGAGCTTTGGCGGTTGCTGCGGAGAAAGCGGGAGGCGGCAGGACAGCTGCGTTACTCACGTGGAAGAGCTGCAGCCGGGGCCCGATGTGCTCCTCGGGGTAGGCGGCTTCGGTGAGGGGCAGGTAGGGCTTCTGGGCGGACCCCGTCTCGTACATCGACATGGGCCGGCTGCTGCGCAAGGAGGGGCGCCGAACGGAGGCCGTGTCTGCGTACTCGGGCCCAGCCGGAGCTGGGTGGGGGTTGGGGGGGCCCTGCCGTCGGAGGCTGGTGTTTTCGCTCTGCAGGCTCTGAAGCTGGAACGAAAGGCGGAGTCGTCCCACCCGCTCTGCTGTCCGCTCAAAGAGGGCTGATCCGGGCCCCCGGACCAGAGAGCGGGGGGCGTGGCAGCCCCCTTCCAAGGGCCGGGCGGGGCTCAGCAGCTCCCACAAGGCCTGAGCAACCTTTCTCCAGCGAAGGACGCGTGTGTGGAACCGCGAGGGGCGAGCTGCAAGCCGGCAGGGGAAGCGTGGAAATGCCAAAGCCGCAGCCGCAGCGGTGGTGGGAGAGGAAACGCGGCGAAAGCGACCGGCCAAAGCAGGAGGCTCAGCGGCACAAGGCAGCCAGCGCACAACCCATTTCCTCTAACGCCTCCAAGCGGAAGGGCCCAGGCAAAGCTCCCAGGAGGGCCCTGCTCCACCCATGCAGTGCACACACACGCACGCTATTAGGAAGGCTTCATACTGGCTGAGGGTTTGAAGGAAGAAACTGCCCACAGCCCTGGCATGGCGCCTTCCCACCGACATCGCAGGAGGAACCGGAGGAGCCCCGCAGAGAATTGAGGTGTGGAGCCAAACTCGGCCCTGGGGGAGCTCGGTCGCAGTTTCTCCCCCTCGCCCC